ATGGCGTCTTTGCGATTAAAATGAAGGGCTGCGCGATATGCATTAATTCTGAAATAAGACGCAACAAGAGTGAGACGAGGCCATGGCAATTACGAAAAGCAGCGCTGCGAGTCGGCGAAAACAGGTTTTTAATGTGAAAAATTAAAACATCCTACGTGCTCTCTTTCTCTCTCTCTCTCTCTCTCTCTCTCTCTCTGCCTCTCTTTCTCTCTCTCTCCTTTGTTGAAATTTAAGTTTGTTCGTGCGTTTCTCGCAATCTAGATCATGCGGATCGTGTCTTTCTTTTCTGTGTTATCTTTTAATCTTCGCTCCTTTGTATCTTCTTGCTCAAAACGTCAACTTTGACCTCGCGGGAAAGAATTCGTGATAAAAGAGGAAAAGGGAGAGAGAGAGAGAGAGAGAGAGAGAGAGAGGGGGGGGAGGGGAGGGGAGGAACAGGCAATTTCTCCAATACGAATCAAGGCCGCGCGTCCCGCAAGATTGATTCGCGTTAATAATCCGCGGCGGCGCTTTCGAAGCGAAGCGTGAAAGTTCGCGCGAGCTGGTGGCGATGAAAACGGACGAATATTTCCGCGCCGTGCGCAATTTTGGCCCGTCTACCTGCGGCCGTTATTCCAGAATCGCGAGATCCGAAACCCTCGGATCGGGATCGAGAGTCCGCGCGTGCGGAACGATTTTCATCCGGGCGGTGCATTAGGATCGAACGAAGGGGCGTTTGTTGATTTTTCTCGTCGAAAACGACGACGATTTGTCCGCAAACATTTGGTTTCCCGAGGCGCACCGGCCCTACATATCCGCCGACTGTCCGCATTTTTCCTTCGTCGTCGTTCTATTCTCGCCGCTACGTCCCTCGGAAACGCTCGTCAAATAATCCCGCCGAATATACGCGCGCGAGCGAGCGCGCAAGTATGTATGTGTGTGCGTGTGTGTATATGTCCGTGTCCGAGTAATGATTAAATACAAGGTAAACGGAAACGACAGAGCGCGCGGAGTTCCGTACATTTTAAACGACTTCTTTCTCCCGCTTCTTTTTACTGCCTGTACGGTAAAATAAAAAAAGGGCGCGCTTTTGGTGGAACGCTACTTTGTATTTAATTCCACTTCAAACTTAATTACGGGCTTTCGAGCCAGAGTCTTTTTATCTTTTATGATAATTCGACGAATTAAATGTCGCGCGAGTGCGCGCGCGCGCGATAATGAGGTATCAAAAAGATGAACGAAATATTCGGTCGGAACTCGATGTATCTTCGACGACTTTAAGAAGGCGAGAACAAGACGAGAAAAATTGCCTTTCATCAAGAAGAGAGAGAGAGAGAGAGAGAGAGAGAGAGAGAGAGAGAGAGAGAGAGAGAGAGAGAGGGGAGGATTTTATTTGGAATTTTCTCAAAGACGAAAGCTCCTCCCTCTCTCTCTCTCTCTCTCTCTCTCTCTCTCTCTCTTTCTCTCTCTCTCTCTCTGTCTGTCTGGGTCTCTCCGATGCGCCGCGCGAATCTCGCGAATTCGCACCTCTTGGAACATCCTGTATTGTCAAAGTACGCGAATACCGAATTGGGCGGCGAAGTTCTCTTCTATGGTTACTTTGACACGAAGTAATGTAATGCGGTTTCACGAGGATGCGTTTGCCTTCTTGGCCCAGTTTGCAGCGGTATATAAAGCCCCCCCTCCCTCTCCCCTCCTCTTTGCTACGTTGTTACTGATACACGGCAGGAAATTGCAGCGAGTTTCGATATATACGCGGTGTCATTTATAACCGGCAAGTATATATATGTACATATATATATATACACACATGTACACACACACACACACATATGTGTATATACACACATATAAGCGTCGAACGGTGCCTTGTTTCTGCGACAGTTAACCCTGTCGCACGCGCGACGCGGTTTAATGACCGGCCTGGCGCACTTCATTTCCGCACTTCAATTTGTGTCAGGATTCGGGGATTGTGCGATGCGAACGATCTCGCGATAAATTATATCCCAAAATCGCGTCACATCGGGCTGAGCGGCGGGTACTTGTTCTCGTTTCTATCAGCATCCGGGGACAAAAAAGAAATCCGCGAGAAGAGTATCTTCCGTGTGAAGTGACAATAATCAAAGACCTGGAGTCGACAAGGTCTTACAATTTCAAACGGTTGGATGATTTTGCACATAGTCGTCTCATCATCTTCGTGTAATTTCCCTCTCTATCAGATCAAAATGCTTTACAAAAGAAGTCAGTTTGAGGAGCCAGCTTAGCCCGGGGCTCCATAATCTCGTTTTAAGACGTAGACAGTAAGCAAATGGACCAACCACAGTCGGTATTCTTCTTACGGTCCATAAACAGATGATTATGATTGGTCAATTTGTTATTGCTTAAGTCTTAAAGTAAGCTTGTGGACCCGAAATTAATCGAGCGGTCTGGCCGTCATGACACCTTCGCCGAGAACCGTCTCGTGGTACGCCGGCCGACCTTGACGTCCTTGGGCCTGAGGGGAAAGAGTTCAGCTAGCGACCTTGTTTGCGCTCATTGTGGGCAGTCGTGTGTGTATATTGTTAGGTAGTCAACGTGTAACTTAAAATTAACCCTTTGCACTCGGGTGTCCTCTCTGAGGGGACATCGTAAGTCTAGCAAATCATTCGGATATTTCCTTTCAAGGGATTCACAATGGTGTATCAACACTTCTCTAATGTCAATACTTGAAGAAAGCGATACTTGGTTTCAAAGCTACACTATTTAATATCAATTCTTGTTTACACATTTTCCTAAAAAAGCGCCACTGAGTTGCTGATAGTTAACCCGCAAGGCTCTGAGTGCAAAGGTTCCTGGGTTGAGGTCAACGGAAAATTTGGCCTCAACTCGCAGGTGTGACACCCCGAGTCCTCTTCTGCTCCAAAGTCCCGGAAGTGGTGAGCGCTCAGTGGACCGTCACCAGCTGCTTGTACACATGGGGAGTGACCCTCCACTGCACGTTGTCGCATGCGAGAGGGGCGAATGTCACCTCGTCTTTGAAATTGTGTAAAATGTATAGGATACGACCTGTTTAACTAGCATCCTTTAATATACAGGGTGAGTATTTTTAATCTTAACAGGCAAATATTTCGAAAATATGCAATTTTACAAAAAAACTTTTTAAATAAAAGTTGTATGATGTTGAGGGGGACGTACATTAGTGAACCTTGGTTTGACCTTGGGACATCTATTTAAGTTCAGAGGATGGTCAATCTAATTTTCTCAAATGGAATCCTCTATTTTTCATATCATATTCTTATAGTTGACTTCAAGACCTTTCCAAAACGCTATGATAAAGTTTTTTTTTATCGAGTACTTTCCGAGTTATGAGACTCAAATGTTAACAGGTGAAGATTAAGTCAATCCATTATCTTAAAACGATTATGTTTGAGACAAAGAAAGAATGATAACCTTGGTTGACTTCGACATACTGTCTTCAAGCTCAGGTCGACGTCACCTTGAATTTTTTAAATATACTTTTTATTTTAATTCTACTTTTAGCGCTACCTAGGAACAACGGCGTGGACGTAGCAATTTTCTGTTCCTTTTGGGATGCTTGATTTCCGTGAGTCCTCTTGCCTCTCACGATTTACGTGAATTTATAACATGACGTACAATAGGTCTACCATTGTACGTCTATGTGGCAGCGTCTTGAAACTCTAACTCATTTCTAGTCTCATAACTCGGAAAGTACTAAATAAAAGCATACTTTATCATAACGTTTTGGAAAGGTCTTGAAGTCGACTATAATATATGAAAAATAGGGAGTTCCATTTGAGAAAATTAAGTTGACCATCCTCTGACCTTAAGTAGATGTCCCAAGGTCAAGCCAAGGTTCACTATTGTACGTCCCCCTCAACATCATACAACTTTTATTTAAAAAGTTTTTTGTAAAATTGCATATTTTCGAAATATTTACCTGTTAAGATTAAAAATACTTACTGTAGCTTCAAAGCTAGCGTAAACTAAAGGAGCTGACGACATTTAAATCTTCTTGACGAGATCGCGCGCGGGTATCTCCAGCGTTTTAGAAAATTACTCGCGAAACCGACTCGCGAACGCACCGAGAACGGAAAGTAAACAACATCGCCGCGCAAAAATCGCCGTACCTTTCGCATTGGCCGCGCAAAACACATCCTTTGTTATTACAGAGTGTTCGATTTTCCGATATTTTCGGGAATAAGCGTCGCGAGGTAAAGAGCGAAGAGGAAGGGACAAGGAGGGAGGCGGCTGAGCGCGGTGGCTTCGTCGTCGCTGATTAAATGTACTGTTTGGTAGAGCTTCCCCGTTTTAAAGGATTACACGTTAGTTGGGAATGATGATTTATCGTATATTATCTACGCCATAAATTTTCGTCCCGGTGATCCGGGTGTTCCCGAGAGTGATCTGGATCGTTGCGCCCGTTTCCGGCACACACACACTTCGCCGCTCCATTGCCATCCCCAACCTCCCCCCCACCGCCCACACACACACACACACACACACACAGCGAGGGAACGGGCGTAGCCGTAATTCGCGCGGCCGATCATTTACATGCGGCGCGCGATCTTCCGAGGTAAATTTCTATAAAGTTTGACGAATTGCGATCGCACGTGCGATGCAACATCGTTACGTCCGTGCGGGATTGTGCGAAAATAACGCGCACCGGCCGATGTACCGTCGCTCGTTCCCTCGCCCTCTGTTTCGCCCCCGAGAAAAAGGAGAGAGCGTTCATTCGCTCGGTTAACACGCGATGAAATAGAAACTGAGCTCATGACAGCGGAGAGAGGTCGGTAAATTACTAGCACTCCGCCGGATGGTTTTCCCCGAGACTCTCCCCCTCCCTCTCTTTTCCTTTCTTCTCTCTCTCTCTCTCTCTCTCTCTTTCTTGACTTCCTCGGCGGAATTTCGTCAATAACGCGAACGCTCTCCAAGGATTAAATATAACTCGCGGAATTAACGTCGGCGGTATTGCAAGGGCGCGAAAAACTGCGGCGACCGGGGCTTGAAAAACTTTCTCGCGCCGCCCCCAGAGAGATTTGAACTCCCGACCTCTGGTTTACAAGACCAATGTTCCAACCCCTGAGCCACGGGGGCGTGCAGCGCCGTTTTTTCCCCTTGGAGGGACTGCACTTGTATACAGGGTGTCCACGAAGTCGAGCTTATTTCGAGTCGATCTTATTCTCGTTATTACGAATGGATGGACATCTAACGTTTGGTTTCAACGATTCGCCGTCTTAATAAAACGCAAGTTTTCCAGCGCGAATCCCAGCGCTACCCAGTCGCACCGTGGCTCAGCTATTATTTTATCATCTCTGGTATTATTGTGTGCTATTATTTTTATCATTATTGTTAGCTGTTATTAACTGTCGTCACTTGTTACCGTTAACCGCGCGGGATAGCAGAGTGCCGTGTATGAGAATGAAAAAAACATTGTTTGCGAAATAGAAGGTCCACTTTCGCATCGCGGTAAAGACATTTTTCTCAATAACGAAAACACCCTCTCTCTCTCCTCTGCAGCCTATTTATCTCTAAACCTCCCGATTAAATGGCGCGTGAAACTCACGAAGGAAGGCATTCCTGAGGCACCGTTGGGTCTCAATGGGCCATTGTGAAGTGCCCCTCGCTTTTAGAAACAAGCACGCCAGGGCGCACGGGGTTGTTCCCTCTTCCTCTCTCTCTCTTTCTTCCTTTTTTTTCTAAGGGAAGAATAACAACTACATGCGCGAGCGCGCGACCGGAAGGGGGGGAGGGACCGTCGGTTAACTTTTATCTTTCGACGTAGAGTTACAATGAGCTTCCTCTTTAGCTTTATTCGCGGTTCCTTCTCTTTCCTTCCTTTTGTGCCCGTCCTTTATACGTCACTCCCTTCGCAATCCGATACTCGAAGAATGACGCCATCTTCTCCCGGAGACTTTCCTCGACGACGCGGAAACCTGACAGCGTCGGTCGCTGAGTATCGATTAACCGCCGCAATCGATCGGGTTTTGAACTTTCACGGGTTCTCCACGGTTTTCCACGGCAATTGCCGAAACAGTATCTACTGGTGGAATTCCGTCCCGCGAGCCGCGTATCATTAATAATTATTCATAAAACTAATTAATTGGTTCTGAACTCGAGCCGTTCGCGTTAACGATTTGCTGCGACCGAGGCGTTCGACGGCGACCGGAGAGAGATCGAACTTTAATCTGCTCGAGCCAGATTGTCACCCCGGTGGCAGCAGTTCAAATATTTTCCAACCCCCCCCCCTTACGATCCGCACATACGCAATTTCTCAGCGAATTCATCACCTCGAGGATTCGCGGACGTGGCCAGTCGACGAATCGGGTTTCCGGCTCGATCGAAGAACCCGCGAACAAGAAGTAACCTCCGACAGATCCGAGACACCCTGTACGCCGATATGAACTTTTCCCTCGTTCCGTGGCAAGTTCTTCGCCCGCGAAGTTTACCGAGCTTCCCAGAAACGCTCGGTATATTCCGCGTTTTCTTCTCCTTCTTGTTTCCTTTATCCCCCTCCCCCTCCTCTCGTTCTCTCTTCACCCTTCGTCGCCGCTGTGTTGAATCCACCCCGCAAACGCGCGTCATGCAGAAACGCTAAACGTGCCGCTTCCAACCGCCTATGCCGGGCAGGCGGTGCCAGCCTTAAAAGTTAATTGCAACGGCGGTCAGGCAAAGCAGCGGCAGATGTCTCGGATGTGAATTTTCCTCGGCGAGGTCGGTCGCCGGGTCGCTCTGTCGCTCGGTCGGTCGGTCGAGAGCAGGGGGCGAGCGGGCGGGGAGGGAGGGAGGGAGGGTCGCGGAACTCGTGCAGTTTCAGCAGGAATGATGGGAGTTAGGTGAAGTCCTGATGCCCGGCGGATCCTGCCCCGGCTAGCGGCGCGACGCGGCCATGGAAGGAAGCAGAAGGCACACGGGGATGTCCCGTTCGAACGAAAGCCTGCTGGCTGATAATCGGCTCGGTAAATGCTGTCATGAATAATAAACGCGGACGAACGAGGCTGGATTTGGTGACGTATGAAAACGTGAAGACGCGTACGCGAAAGCTCCCTTGCTCCGTGAATGCACGAAGCCTCGCGCGTCTCCCGAATCCTGCGCACGTCGCGGAAGGGACTGATTCGACGGGATTCGTCGGGATTCTACGTTGACCTTGAAAATTTTGTTACACGAGTTATAGGATTGACACAGAGCTCGGTTAACCCTTTAACGCCTTCTGGTGACTATAGTTACCAGAAACGCATTTAAGAATCCATAACTTAGTGAAAAAAGGAGATATTTTCGTTTTCTTTGCATCTGCACTGTAAAGGTGAATTCTTCTTCTAAAAAATGGTATATAGATTGTACGTAGATTCGGTTTAGTCTGTTTTTAGCTCAGTTTTAATGATAACATGTTTTGTCAAATTCCAAGTAGGCATGGTTAGCATTGTTACTGACATCCAGAAGTGCACTATAAATAAATAGATTGGTATCTGTTATAATTTTACACATTTGGAAGCTTTCTCAGATGCAAAATGTGAAATTAAAAGAATACAGAAATTCAAAATGGCGAATCCAATATGGCGGACACGAAAATCAAGAAATCAATCTATTTTCGTGAAACCAGGTGACCTACAGTTTTTTATGCGGCAAAAATGAAGGGACGATTGACTATCTAAATGGTGATCTATAAGATATTCTTCTGAAATAGTAAACTTGACGCTCTAAATGACAAATTTCACTCACAAATATAGTAAAGTTTCAGCTCAAAAATGTCAAGCTGACTATCAGAGTTATGTCGTATAAATTGCCCTTCATTTTCCTCCGTTTCTAAGTTGCTCATTTTGTATATGCTTTTAGGATTCAAGTCATATTTACCAATAAACAAAGAACGAACGATAAGAAAAACCAAAATAAAATTCTGATATTTTTTTGGGTTATCACTACTTATAATCTCAATTCAAAAAAACTCAAATTTTATTCTTAAAACACTTATAAAAAAGTCGGGCGTTAAAGGGTTAAAGAATAACTCGTCGAGTGCAGGTAGAATGCAGGTGGAGACAATGGAGAAAAACTTCTGAAGTGAGTCCTTTCTTAAGGACATCTAAAAATGGCACCGAGTGACCACCAAGGCGGAATAATGTGGCCTACATAGTGTCCCCCAAGTTCGAGGGGATCCACGGGGTTAACGTGGAGCTGGAATGTTAACTCGGCAAGTCTCCTAGTGTTATGCAAATTTTGATTGCACAAAGTGCGATCGAATTAAATCGACGGAAAAGCGAGTCGTCTGGACAATCTGGTGTCGCAACTTCGATGATGAAATTCGGTCAACGGTAGATCGTAACAGAACAAGTATTGTTGCTGGAATGTAACAATCGTATACGCGAAATGTCCAACCGCGCTAAGAACTTGATCTACGTGATAATACAATTTTAGCTCTAGTAAGAAAATTGATTAAACCGGACGATAAGTGCGATCAGTAAGGTGCGAACTTTACGATCTGCTCGTTGAGCTGAACTTTGAGTTTCTTCCACAGCAACGAGAGACTGAGAGAGCATGAGAATCTCGCAGGCAGATTTAGGGCGGTAAACTCGCCGTGCAAACTTCTGTCATTGAGTTCGTTCAACTCGAGGTCATCCGAGTTGTTTCGCTCGATTTTCTTCTTTTTAATGTACACACGCTCGTAATCTCCTATCGTTCAATTCACGATCGAGACAATAGATCTGTGCCACTCGGTGGAGCTCGGGGGAGACAACTCGAGGTATACAGGGTGTCCCGAAACAATTGCGAATATCGCAATACGGTATGAGACTTTTTTATTCGCCTTAATCCGTTCTACACTTTCACGAATTCTGGGACACCCTGTATATGTATCCAGAGCGTTCGGTAACTCATGTAACCATAGCTAATGGAAATAGAACTAATTAAGAGAAACATAAAAGTCCCATATCGTTTTGCGATATTCGCAATAATTATCGAGTTATTAATTACAGAAATCTGACGAGAGTGAGCGCGCCGAGTGGCTGCAATGCGCTTCTCCAATCATTCATATCATCTCGCGTTCATTCGTCAGATTTCTATGATTAATAACTCGATAATTGCGAATACTGCAAAGTGATACGGAACTTCATCATTCGCCTTAATCCGTTCTACGCCTCCACGAACTTTAGTACTATTCTGTTCTGCTACACCCTGTATATATATATAGAGCGTTCGGTAACTTATGTAACCGCAACTAATGGAGATAGAACTGATTAAGACAAACATAAAAGTCCGATATCGTTTTGCGATATTCGCAGTAATTATCGAGTTATTAATTAGAGAATGATGAGTGGCGCGAGTCGAGATGAATGATTGGAGGAGCATTACAGCCATTCGGGGCCTAGTTGATCCTGAGCAACTGAGTTACCGGTGCACGAGGAGATGAAGGAGCGGCAAAATAAGACCAATGCATAATCAAACAGCGGCGCATTATCCTGCCCTTCGCCGCGCGCGCCAGCAACAGTTGCTGGATCGACTGGGCTGCACTCTTGCCCGAGTGGCTGGAACGCTTCTCCAATCATCCATCTCGGCTCACTCCTCCGATTTCTATAATTAATAACTAATAATATAAAAATAATAAAATAATAAATCAATAACTCAATAATTATTGCGAAATATTTTCGCAAAACGACGTAGGACCTTCATTTGTTTGTCTTAATCATCAGTTTTATATTTCCATCGGCTACGGCTGCATGACTTATCAAACACCCTGTATATCAGATAACACGAGGCAATTAAATGAGATCTCCTTACGACCGTAAAGCTGCCGGCTTTTTCTTGTATTACGCGCTAAATCAATGATCGATACGACGTGGAGAGAGAGAGAGAGAGAGAGAGAGAGAGAGAGAGAGAGAGAGAGAGAGAGAGAGAGAGAGAGAGAGAGAGAGAGAGAGAGCTCACTTTATACGACAGCGCCAGCGCACAAATAACCGGGGAAATATATTACAGGGCGCTTTGTAAGGACACAGTCTATATATTATCTCGGGGATAAAGACCCGGGCCAAGAGATTTCTCCTTGTTGATCTGGTAATCCGTAGATGATCGTAAAAAAAGGTCTCTGCGAGCGAAGCGAGCGCGCCCGTGCGGATAAGAATTTCCACGTATTCTTTTCTGAAACGCTACAACGTACACATACACACACACACGCACAAGTACAAGGAGAATACGAGTGTGAATACGCGATGGAGCGGATCCTTTAGACACACAATGCACCCTCTCGTCGCGCGGGGATCCTTCGATCCGTAAATTTCCTTGCTTACGTAAATACCGTGCGCCACGTATCCTTTACTTTGTGCTTAACTTCGTGAACCAGTTCACCTTGTAACCCCACGGGAGCAGAATAGCGGAGGAGGAGGGGGAGGAGGACAGGTCGGGGCGGAGGTTTAGGCGAAGGAAATTCCCGCGGCAGCTCGCGTGTAGAATACCGAACGATAATTAGGTATCGATTTCCACGTGCCACGAGAATGTCGGCGATAATCGACTTCGCCTATCTCAGCTGTTGACCCTGCTCCGCCGTTGGCCGCGTCGGGTTTATCGGAGGCCCTGCTCTCTCGTGCGCGCCGTATTCTTCCCTGTGAATTCCTAACCCAGTTCCATTGATCTGGCGAGTGCCTCCACGCGAGCGCGAGTACGCGCGTCTTGTATGACAAATTGAAGGGTCTTCTCGGTGAGGGCGAGAAAAAAAGGAAAGAAAAGGAGGCAGACGAGCGAGAGAGGGAGAGGGAGAGGGAGAGAGAGAGAGAGAGAGGAGGGAAAATCACCACTCCAAGCGAAGTTTCGCACGAGCGAGCGAGCGAGCGAGCGAGCGAGCGGCCCGAGAGCGATCTCCCTCTTCCATCATAATGGAAGGTTGACGATTCTCGCGACGAAAATCAAACGCGCGTCTTGAAGACGATGGGCGAACGACCTCGACCGCTCCTCGGCCGGCCAACGGCAGTCGAGTTTCGAGTCCATCTTGAGGACTCGGCCGTCGTCTTGCGGGATTATTAAAATTGGCAGGTGATCGATCGTGGCGTTCGGTATTCGTCGTCCTGAAAATATAGTACGATTAAGAGTGCATTCACGTCAGGCGATTAATGAATAACGACGACGAAGGAAGATGAATTTCTCGAAGGGGAAGTTGGCGCTTCGGAGCTCGCTCGATAGTCCGCCGTGTCTGAAAGAGTGACGCTTATTTTTATGAAGATAGAATCTTCGGACTGTGCGGTCGTGGAAATAAAAGTGGAGGGGCGAGAGAGAGAGAGAGAGAGAGAGAGAGAGAGAGAGAGAGAGAGAGATTTTTCTTAGCAAGACGTTTTTGGACTTCTCCTTCGCACTCTCTCTCTACACACGTTGCCGTGCGCTGTTTCTTCGATCTTCCCTTCATCTCTCTCTCGTCGCGCGAGAACCGAATCTGCTTTACACGAATTCCTCGGACGAGGATTCAGTATCCGGGACGTTATTACTGAAAGTAACGAGCGGCTTCTCGAACAAAAGCAACGATTCGTTCCGGAGATGTATATTCACACGACGTATAGCCACTCGTGTTGGAGACGCATCTTTTATTAATCGCGCAGCGCCGGCTGAAAATTTCACACGAGCAACGGCCGCGTCTGCTTCCGCTATCTGACGCGACAGGGACAGTGGGACCTTGCCGAAGCCATTTGTCCGGATGTAAATGTGTCCTTTTCCACTCCCGTGCAAATGCTCTTATCTGCGTGTCTTTTCTTTCTCTGTCAAAGATTGTATTTGTATTCACAAGTCTACTTATTTTCCCGCAGCGCGGAAAAGCTTTTAAAAGATAAATCCTGGAGTATGAACGCGTCTACACTCAAAAAAAGTATTCTATTTGTAAAGCGATTTTTCCAATAGTCTCATATTCTAAGCGAGGCCTTTACAGAAGAAGGATTCCTCTTTCGATCAAGCGATTAAAGTGAACCATTCATCTGAAATTTATTAGATATTATTCTTTTTTCCTCTTATTTCAAAAGGATTTTCTTTTATATTCAATTAAGTTTTCTCTTATGTGAAGAGAAATGTGTTGATTTGAATGTCGGCTTCTTTTGTTCAGTCATGCTCTACCTCCAAACATGAACGAAAAAATAATAACTATATGCTCATGGATCAAAATATTTGGAACGCTTTTTAAAAAAGGTATGTGTGTTGCTGTAACATATAGCGAAGATAATTTATTCATATTTAGTCAACTACAGTTTATAATCTATTGCAAGAAGTTGAATTATACATTCTTTCTTTTAACTATGTTTCATATAATTTGTTACGATGAATATCTTTGTAGCTGTGAAGTGATTCATAACAAAACTGATTGGAAATTTATTTGTTATGATGATCTCATTTTATTCGTGCCTATTTATTGTAGAACTGGAGCCAGAAGTACATCTATATATGTATTACTTTTCGCTATATGTTATAACAATTTTCTCAAATTAACTACTATAACCAATAAGAATAAAGTACAGTAAGTACATCAATAAATAATAATCTTCTTAAAAAATGATTAAATAATCTGCGTATGAGAGGGAATTTATATTAAAATTAATAAGATTTGCATTATACATATAATCCCTCTAACTTTAAGAATAATATGTTTCTAATATTTCCCTCTTAATCTTAAAGGAATCCTCGTATATAAGAATAAACTCTCTAAAATTTACAGGTTTCCGCTTGTTCTGAAATTACTTTTCTTTGGGTATATTCGCCTGAATTTTGAAATGTACGAATTTGCAAAATGCACGGATCAGTTGCTCTTCGATGTTTCTGCGCGTCTTTGCGTGGGTCTCGCAAAGAGAACCTTCCGATGATCGTTTGCGCGAAATCTTCAGGATTAACGTTTTCTTTTTCAGAACCCGCACGAAGTCCCGCGAGAATGCGCCAACGGACGGCAGCGCGATATGAAAGGCTCTGTATCCGACACGACGAGATACAAGCTGGAGGATCCTATATAGGGTGCTACACGGACAGGACGAGGCTCCTAGATCAGCCCTAGCGTCGCGAGGTGCACAAGGAAGAAGCCATCCGTTAAAGTTTATATTCCACACTCGACGCTTCCGACGGCACCGGAACTGCGGTGTTCTTGACGATATACGTACGGTCGCCATAAGTCACGTACCGTAGGAGCGCCCAAGTATTTTCCACCCCGCGTATTTCAGAATTCTCTCTCGTCTCCCCCTTTCTCCTGCCTCTTTCTTCTTCTTCCTTTTTCTCCTCTCCTTTCAGCGTGGCGCGCGGATAAAGCGATCGAGTGGGAGACTTTAATACGAATATTCGTATTTTTCCGCCGCGGGAATTACGCTGCCATAATCCCGCAGTCATAATTTCAAGCACGGTAATGCCGCAAGCTCGATTCAATACGACAGAAAAAAAGTCTACGGATTCATGCGCGCGTGTAGGCGCGCATGTAACGTACATAATGTAACGAGGAGAGAGACGTATTAGCGATAATTAAATGTTCCTCCGATACTACTATCGCCCTTTAGAGATAATTAAAATTACGCCATAGACACGTCGCAGGACAATAACTCGTAGTACGCGGCTCGCGCAAAACGCGATAAGTCGCGTGATGCGCGCACGCGCGCGCGTTAATACCGTAGAACCTCCCCTCCCCCTCCGCCCGAGATTTGATTTGCACCTGTCGATACGCGTTTGTTCGCATCGAGAGGCAGCCTTATGTTCCTTTGCCGGCCGATCCCGAACGGAAGGGTCAGACGCGGAGACCCGTCCTCTCGTTTGATCGTGCCCCGATTATATCTGCTTGCATTTGTCGAAAGCCACAGGATGGGATCAAGAGAAAGAGAGAGAGGGAGAGAGAAAGGGCATAAAGAAACGATTTAATTAAAATCGTTCTTTTACCGTGGCGGTGAGAACGGAAGAGTGGCGTCGATCGGGTTCCTTTTGCCATAACGGAAAAGTGCTGAGCAAGGGAAAGAAGATAGCCCGAGCGCAGGAGGCAATTAGCGTTCGTTCGATCCCTTTGTGCGTTTGACAGTATCGTTGTTCCACCACGCGCGCGGGTAATTCGCGTATCGACGAAGAAACTCGCCCGATGGCTATGGCGGTGACGACGGCTTGTTAAGTGCGCTTTCTATCAATCCCCCCCCCCCTCTCTCTCTCTCTCTCTGTCCTTCTCTCGGGCATCGAACGCGGAGAAGGACGGTATCATTTCTATACGTCGTCCGTAGGATCAATCCTCCGAGAATTATGCAGCGATAAAGTTTCCCCGAACGCGCCTTTAGATCACCGTAATCACCGTAAATCATCGTATCGGGTGTTGGGCAATTTGCCGTTACGGAAACCTCGACTGCGACTCCGGAAGGCGGCAGCGGCCACTCGTCTCCGAAGTCTCTCAGCCGATAATTCGCGAGCGAACCTGCGCGATACGGCTGGCGGCGATTAAAAAATTGTCCGACATCCGGGCGAAGAGGAGACAAAGAGAAACGGGCTGAAGAGGCGATCCCGAGCTTGTCCGCAACAGTCGACCCACCCATCTCCGCGCCGCAGGAGTATCTCGAATAGAAAAATTAATAGGGCTCTGGTAAGGCTCTGATTATTTTTCCCTAATATTAATCGGGCCCTAGTAGGGATAGAAAGACAAGGGCCCTACAAGATGTGTAACAAATGATTTAACGGGTCTTTATAAAGCAGTATTAATAGAGCCTTATAAGGAAATATTTTTATTTGAGTAAAAACATTCGTTCTTTTCATTCCAAGAAATTTGGACTGTAATTTCTTTATTTCTTTATAATTTTGTTAATAAACAAGAATTGTAAAAATATATCATACTTTACAACAAAATATAGCATTCTTTATACATAAAAATGCTGCTATTGTTTCTATTAAAGTTTGCTGCATTTCAAAACGAAGGCAATACTAGAAAAATCCTTGGAAGAGGCTGATCCTTGGAATATGGCAACTAACAAAACTAATTAAATTTGTTTTTAATTGCGGTATAATTAAAAAATCTTTAAAAGAGCCAGATAGAGCGTCTCTACTAAGACAATACTAAACTATGACAATTTTATTACACGCTTCAGATCTTATTAATTTTCTAGAACAAAACTTGATTTTGTATATCTGAAGCATCCTCTCTTAAAACATCCTTCTAAGGCCCACATCAGTTCTCCATGTTAAAGTGTTATTTCGTACAATCTAAGACCTCCCTAAAAAATCCTTCTTAGACCCTTCTCAGCTTTCCCCTAAGTGTTATTTCGTAAAATCTAAGGTACCCCTAAAAGATCTATCTCGAGGCCTGATGTGATAATAATGAGGCATCCCTTTTTAGGGCATCCTATTTTCAGCCTTATCAGAACCTTATGCTTCATGAGGATGGCCCTAACAATTTTTTGCTCGGGATGATTCATGCTTGCGCGAACTTCGTCCGCCACAGATCGAACAAGTTACGTATATATCGCGGGTTAACAAGGCGCAACGAGAGACGTTAATTCGATCGGTCCAATCTGCGGGAGTGATATTATACAAAAATGCCTTTCTCCGAAGGATGAAAAAAAGAATGACCTTCGAAGCGAGGTAGGACGCAAAATTGCGGCGAGCCCGAAGAGGAAACGCGCCGTGTCTTTCCCCCGCTGAGCGGCGGGAAGGACCCTTGCCGTCGCGTGCGTGCGTACACGCTTCCGCCGGTGCGTCCTTTGAAGGGTTGAAGTTGTGCTCGACTAGTATGCAAGTGTAACAACAGACCTAATGAGGAAGACGCAATTGTGCATTCCGTTGTGCGGCGGGTGCATAAATCTCGATACGCTGCGAACGGTTTAACGGGGGAAGTATCGCGACGGAGGGCGGCTCGGGTCGGCCAGGAGGGCTGCACAGTTGCCGTAAACCTCTTATCTGCGGCGAGGATCCCGAGGAAAGGCCGCAGACTACGGATTATCCTGCGAGTATGACATACTTATACGTATATATACGTATCTCAGAGCGCGAACAAGCCTTTTCTCCTCCTACGCCCCCCGCCCTCATCCTTCTCCTTTCTCGCTCTCTTCCTCTGTCTCTCTCTCTCTCTCTCTCTCTCTCACGGGCGCGCGCGCGGTTATATCCCCAGTCGTTTGGGATTTTCATCACGAACGTCGTTTCCGCTGTCCGCGTCGCTCCGCGCTAATTTCGGCGTAATTGCGGGCCGCGAACGCGGACGGTGATTTCGCCGTTCGGCCGTTTGTTTCGATCTCAGCCGAGCAGCCGTGAGCGGAAACTGCGAGGATCACTCGCTGCTTCCTTTCGCAAACGCTCGATAGACGTGCCGATGCGAGTGAATGAATGACACCGGGAGAGGCGCTCGACGAGCTGCAATGAACGTCACAGAGTTTTGAGAGTCTCGTTGACGAGAGCGGTAGAATTATTCGTCGGAAATTCGACGATTATCTCAACAGCGGTAATTATCGATGTAGATCTCTCTCTCTCTCTCTCTCCTTTTCCGTCATATCCTCCTCAAAGTGTCCTACATTCGCCGCGATCCCCCGCATTTTTCGACCGCCGCCGCGACTCTCTCTCGCTCGGCAAAGATGACGAGATATCAATTGCTTTCACAGATCCTTGCTCCCGCAGATCCCTAATTTCACAGATCCTTGCTTCTACGGTACATCTCCATAAATCCCTGATATATTATTCATGAATACAGTCCCGATGGGCTCCTTTTAATGCCACACACAACGCAAAATTCTCCCCCCGCCAGCCTCCCCCTCTCTCGGTCGCTCTCGTAAATAACATCCCCTCGCGTTTTCCGCAGCGACAAAATTTCACTGCGGAAATACTGATTTTCTATAACTCTCAGGTATGCCACCTGGGTAGCGTAGTTAAAAGGAATATTTCCTATAACTGCGGGGTTAAAAGGAATATTTCTATTCTCCGAGTGCCATTCGTTTCGTGTATGAGTTATGTCGCGCCGCGTTTCGCGCCGTCTCGCTCCCCTCCCGGCCCGTTTCTCACCCCATCTCCCGTTTTTCTACCCTATACAGGGTGTCTCCGCGGACTGAGCGGTCTCTCTCTCTCTCTCTCTCTCTCTCTCTCTTCCTCTCTCGCACAAGCGGGGGGATATATACCAGGCAAAAAATGTTCAAGAGCGCAGCGAGAAAGCACGTTCCCGCGCGAGAAACGAGCGACATTGCCAACGCGCGTCTCGTAAAATTTCGGGAAATTCGACAAAGATACGTCGCGCATCCCGGGCGAGTCCACGACAACAGACTCGCGTCGCGGAGTACACGAAGACGGTCACAGATTTGCCTCGTTTCCTCCCGGAGGGAAGAGCAAAAAAGAACCATCCCGCTCCACCGTGTCTGCCTTCGGACGCGAAGCTCCCCCGTTCCTTACTTCCGCGACTCGGCGCGCTCGTTAAAACGAAGCGTCGCCGTTGCCGAGAGGAACACTCTGTATATGTAATGTGCTTACCGGCCGCGTATTGGCGGGCACGCGTATAAGTACGTAATACATTTACACGCGTCTCACGTCCCGGGGGCCGCGAGTGGAGGCAACGTTTTCGCGTTGCCAATTTACATACCCCTTCGCCCCTTTTACGTCCCTTCGCCCACGCGAGAGCGCACTTCGCCTACTTACGTATGTGATTCTATCCCGTTCACGCTCGCAGTAAAGACTCACCTTCGTCGCCTAACCGCGAAGTGCCAAAGAAAAACGGGGCTGCTCGTCACAAATCAGCCCCGGGAATCAAGACACCCGTCACGACTACGCCCGTCGTCGGAGCCGGGCGAGCGCGTCGCGCGCGGAAATTCCGGCCCGTCGAATTAACGGAACGAGCCATTTTCACCTCGTGTATTTGTCTTCTTTATTGGCCGAAGTCTCCTCTCAATTATCGGCGTTAAACGTGTCCCGCTGATTCGAAGGTAGACTCGCCTGGATTCCTCATCGCCGTCGGCTCGGGTAGCCGTGAGGTCCCGTCGAGACGACACGCGGCGGGAAGGAACCAACCCGTGCAAAAAATTGTTAGGGCCATCCTCATGAAGCATAAGGCCCCGATAAGGTTGAAAACAGGATGCCCTAGAAAGTATGCCTCGTTATTACCACATCAGGTCCCGAGATGGATCTTTTAAGGATACCTTAAATTTTACGAAATAAGGCTTTGACAAGGAAAACTGATGAGAGGGAAGGATTTATTAGGGGTGCCTTAGATTTAATAACGCTTTAATAAAGAGGAAGCTGAGAAGGATCTCAGAAGGATTTTTTAGGGATGCCTTAGATTTTACGAAATAATACTTTAACATGGCAAACTGATGTAGGCCTTAGAAAGATCTTTTAAGAGAGGATGCTTCAGGAGAGGATATACAAAATCAAATTTTGGTTTAGAAAATTAATAAGATCTGAAGCGTGTAATAATGAAGCGTGTCATAGTTTAGTATTGTTTTAGTACGCTCTATCTGGTCTTTTAAAGATTTTTTAATTATACCGCAATTAACCCTCGGAGGACACACCTTTTTTTTCAAGATCAAGAAGAACACTCTGGGTCAATTTGACTCTGCGTACGTTTTGATTGTCTACCATTTCCCATACACACATCCGATCAGCTTGAAAAAATTCTCAGATACACTTCAAACATCGTAGAATCAATTGACGTAGAAAAAAAGTGTCGTTCGAATCATTTACATATTTAAAAAAATTAACAACAAAAAATTGTTTTCTGCAAAATTCAAAATTTAGTAAAAAAAAAATATCTTTCTCAACTTTCAATATTTTTGGCTGAAAATTTATCCTCATATTCCCAAGATATACTTGTATTAAAAAAAAAAATAGTCCTCTAGTGTACCTTTCAAAAAAGGTATTTATTTTGCTAAGTGACGAAGGTGTAAATTAAAAATGTTTATCCGGAACAAACCGACGCTTAGTACACAACAGGGTCAGAATGAACCTGCACCGATTTC